AAGTATGCACTCATAAATTATATAGTCTCATAACATTGTGATGTTATCAAATAGGAGTGGTCGACCTTTGAATAACACAAAGGTATGTTAAGGGCCTTCACTGTAGCGTATCTGAATATCGTAGTGCTAAAATGTGTTCTTTAAGAGCAGCTATTTCATTATGCTTAAAATACGCTGAATTCTGGAAAAAGTCTTAAATATTTATGTCTATTTATTATGTTGATATAATGAAAAAGAATATATACTGATATATAATATATTAGTACCAAGATAACATGTAAACATTTAAAGAATTTATTTTTCTACTATCGGCTCACCCTCGTTTTGCTCGGGTTTGCCTCTAGAAAAATAAAAATAAATCTATCCCACGCGAACCGTACATTTTTCCGGAATGTAAAGTAAGTAGCCTATATGTTATTCTGATGTATGGGCTATATTATTTAAGTTTCATTAAAATCCATTCAATAGTTTTTGCGTGAAAGAGTAACAATCATCCATACATCTATATATCCTCACAAACTTTCGCATTTATAATATTAGTAGGATTTTAGTTGTCACTTTTACAATATAAATACACCCACATAATAATTACGACATATGTATAAGCGTAAAATAAATATTCCTATTCACGTCCCCAAATCGCCAACTGTCAATAGTTTTGTTAACATTCAATCACGATTTGCATATTTAACGTTGCAATTGCACTTTATTTGAGTAAGAGGCGAACGACCCCTGTTAATTAATAGAATAAAGCGCTCGAACCAACAGCCTTAACAGGATTTATGCGTAGATCCCTAGCGCAATATATGTATAGCTCGACTCAAAAGACCTTCATTTTGTTCGCTGAGATATAAAATACATGCTTTATCTTCACGACCTCGCAAAACTATTACTTATTCTAATAAAGTTTGTTAAAACAGATACACAAATCAGATCCACAAGCACACCGTAAATTGTTTCATCGAAAATTGCAAGAAATCTGAATTGATTATAAGAACTCGAGTGGCGGTAAACTATATTTTGCATTCATGACGAAAATAACATCGATAGTTGAAACATGACCACATTGACCGAGCGTAGAGTTCAAAACCACATAAATATAGACACGCCATTTGTAAAGAATATTTAACCATTTTTTATAACGTGATTCAAAACTTTAATATTTTCTCAAATTTTCATGACGTTTGCTATAAATAAAAAACGATAACAATTACTTTCTCAACTAATTTTTTTTGATAATCGACCATAAAATGAACTTTTTCAACGAACTTGCGATCTGCTTTATTTGAGTCTGGCTTTTACTTCTTTGTTTCCCTTTAGTACCTACCAAAGGTAAAAAGTCACCTGACTTGTACTAAACCTTAACCTATTAACTAATAAGATACCACTCACGTTTATCATATTATACATAGATTATTACGTTAGAAACTTTCAAGTGTGAAAAACAACTAAGTTTCAACTCAATCGTATACAAAATGCGCTAGCGCATTAATTGTTATATACATTAAAGACATCATAATAAATAAATAAAAGGATAATTTGTTGCATATATTATTGTACAAAAATGACTTTGTCGCTTCAAGCAATAATAAAATACAATACATTACCTATAACTGAATACAGTCATAAAACATAATAGTAGAGACGTGCAAAATTGCACATATTACTGTTACGATTGCCAATACACGTATGTCCCTCACTATTTCTGCGAACTTAATGCTTTATTTGTTACAGTACACTAGCAATATCAAGAATAGGAAATATGGATAGGAATCGCATATTTCTTAGAACCAAGTCATGCTTATACTTAATAAGTCAACGAAAAAGAAGTGAACAACATCTTATTCTACAAATTAAACGTTATAATAGGAAACCGGCATACCCACGCTCCCCACTTTCATCTTTCAACGGAAGTAGCAATCTAGTGATTAGATCGAAGTATCTAAGATGCTCCGGTGGGCGGGCCCTTCGCCCACATACGCTCATGGCGGAAGGAAAGCACAAGGCGAATTTATGATAGCTCGTTTTGAGCATAAATTTACAAGCTAAATGGACTCTTTAACGACACTGTGATAAATTGCTGACACGTGCCGCTTGTCGCATGGGGCTCTCATTTAAAACTGCAGTGAGAATAAACTTTACACATGGAAATATAAAAATCTAGAAGAGATTAGATTTTTGTTTGTGTTTAGACCCTATTTCTTTTTAATATTGCTCATACATTAATTGTTAATCTCGTTGCAGTTTTTTGATTCAGATTAATAAAAAACTAATACCAAGAATGGTGTTGAATTAAATTGAAACATGATTTGATTTATTCATTATTGTGCAACCAATCATCATTATCACAATATTAAAATACAATAGTTTATGAAAGGCTTCAGGGTTCATATGGGCTTAAGTCTGTTTCGTCTAAATTATAATTAGAGAAACTTATTCTACGAATATGAATTTGGATAAAAATAAAAAACCTAAATTTGGAAAATCCTTAACTAACTTCATATTAATTATTTCATATTTTGTATTCATATCAAACTTATAAGTCTTTATAGTATAAAGATGTCAGTACCTTTTAATTGGGTACGATTAAACTATTACTGAAAGATTCGTACAAGTACTTTCGGAAGTTTGGTCTATTTATGAGTTAAGTCCCCGGGCGTTGATTGATCATACATTCCGCGGACTTTGCCCGCAAGTTACATTGTGTTGCGAGTTTTATAGACGACAATGCGACGTTTGCAAACGATGTTTTCCGTCCTGTTCAAATCACAGCTCGTCTTCGCCGGATGGAATACGATCGCCCTCCCCAAATACTGACAAGGACATTTCTATATGAATTTATTCATACGTGACGGTAAGTCGAGTGATGCGACGAAATAGCCGACGTCCGGCGGCCCACGTGCGCCCACGCCGCGACCTATGATACGATATTTAGAACAAATCTTTCATGTCACTTATAAAATTACTCCTGTCGGCTAAGGCTTATCGGTATTGACTTATGAGCCTTTGTACTGCGAAATGATAAGATAATGACCGGACAAGCGTTAAAGATATAAATAATGTTTTTGCATCTCGGTCATTTGCACATTGCCTGTAAAATTGGCACAATGTAAATACATACTAGTTAATAAGTAAGGGAATAAAAATTTCATACATAAAAAATTGTTAAGACAGTTAAAAATAAAACATTCACTTATTAAGTATTCCGTTCAATATCTCTTAATTATAGTCTATCCATTTCATACAAGCCGTTAAAACGTACCTAGGGACGAACGCGAGCGAAGTGAGGGTGAGCTACTAGTAGGCTATAAATGAATAAAAAATCTTCAAATGGAGCTAATAGTTCCAGATAGCTCTTAAAGATATGAATTCTCTACAGCTTTATACATATATACATACATACATACATATATTACTAGTGTAGATCATGATCCTTTTATAATAATTTTACTATATTTTAATGACATGATTGAATATGCTTATCTCAGGAATAATTCATGCTTCATAGATATTATCTTATTCTTCTAAAAAGGCCTATATTCTGGAACGATCCACTTTGAACTTATGAAATAACAATTACAATCTATACATTAAAAGTACAAAAAACAGCATGACATTGAATTCTAATATTTCATCAAGTGTACATACTTGTACTGAGCGAGGTGCATTCTCAGGTGTAGTGAATATCGTATTTCCAAAGGCTACGGTTATACCAACAACTCTATCTTAAGTTATTGACATCAATATTAATGTCTCACCAAGTTGTGATACCGCCAGTTAGTATGTAATTACAGCTATTAAATTTCATTCTGATAAATCGATTAGCAATCTAATTATCATCGTAAATATTATATATAGAATTATTGTGATTATATTTACTCATGCTTTTTATTACGTAGTGAAGCAAACATAAAAGTTGCTTTGTTAAAATTGACTAATTATAACATAATACTGATACTTCGCCGCCCTTACTTCGCTTAAGCACTCACTGTAACCAAAAAAAACATAAAACTTTCTATAAGATCCCTCGTTTCTTATTTTCTTCTCTCGTTCTTGTTTTCTTTTAGTTTTTACTAAATAAAAAAAAAACATTTAGGTATTGTTTTTTTCCCAACTTTCCTAATTTTTCCATAAATACTTTAATCGAACAACATTTTACGTTTGTTATAAACAAATAGCTGAAGCAATTTTCAAAATTTCTGAATACTGCTTTTTAGTTTTTAGTACCTTTTTATTTAAAATAACACATTAATTAAAAGAAATTTGCAAAATCATGACTCTATTTTTTTTATATATATATATATATATATATATATATATATATATATATATTTATATATAATCCAACGTGTAATGTCCAAAGTACACTGAAAAATTGAGTGCTACTTGATTCTCCGAATAAAGCCTACAATTACTATTACTACATGAAGTGTAAACTAGCCTGAACTAGAAGTTTGTTTACATATTATTTATTTATCATGTTTGTTAACCACTATTAAGTAATAAACATTAGTCGGCACAAATTGTAAATTATATCTCATATACAACTTTTGCTCTCTGGTATAAACTAGTGAGAAACGCGGTTTAAAGGATTTCACAACATGTTTCTTGTACGAGTATCTTTATTAACTCATTACATCTTAACGGCTTGTGTAGTTTGAAAATAAGCCATTTTACTATAAGTTCCATTATACTAGTTTATAATTTAATAGCAACAAGATCAGTTATTCGTAAGGGTTCTTAGCAGTTATAAACTTGACCAATTAATGAAAAAAGTAAGTAATATTATCAAAAGCAGACTTTAATCGATATTTATAAGTAATGATTAATTTCTATAAATCTATGGCTTTTAAGAATTTTTATTATTGGCTATTTTCTCTTTGATCCATAAAAGGACAACTGGGATATTTTTCATTGATTCTTTACAAAATAGTCTAGCTTTAATAAGAACTATTTTTAATTTCAGCCTATAAAGCATAGTGAAATATTGAAAATCTTACCTGTACGATAACCAGCATTTGAAAGGTACGTAGCGAATGTGTTTGTCTCGTGTTTGGCCTGCCACGTCGGTGAAGAGCAGTTGTCATTGTTGGTGTACACGTTGTGGTTGTGAATGTAGACACCAGTTAACAGAGAGCTCCTGTTGAAAACATTGTAAAATTAAATGGTTGAATATTATAATAAGGTTTATTTTACGATGGAATTTTTAAGTGTATAAACCCACTTCAATTTTATTTGTTAGGAAAACCTGGCGGATTTTATATTAAATTATAAATTTTAACCATATTAAAGTTTAAATGATACAGAACTTTAGAGGTAAGACAGACAGACATACGTAAAACTAATAGAAAGGATTAGTAAAAGAAGCTTGCTCGCTATAAAAATAGAGTGAAGCAGCTTCAAACTCCAGTTCAGGCGTTTCTGATATTCTCATGTCAAACAAATCTATTCTCTACATAATTCCCATATTCTAAATCAAAAAAAAAAACAAAAAAAAATTGATATTTCAGACTTATTGATTTCTTCAAGATTTCTAAACCAGTTTTCGAAAGACAAAGTTTACTAACCCACTTTTCGCAACGTTGTGGACATAGCCCTCTCTCTCATATTAAGATGTTAATAGGGGTGAATTATTGTTAGGTTCGAACGTTTTACCATTGGATCGTAACTATAAAAATTATTGAAATATATATTTACATTTAATATAAACATTTATATACATTATTGAAATATATATTACATGAAATTATATAAATATATATTTACTTCAAAAGATTCTGAGGATGTATAGATGTTTGGATGTTTGTTTAACTACTGAATGGATTTCTATGAAACTTTACAATAATATAGCTCATATATCAAAATAACACATAGGCTACTTTTTATTCCGGAAAATCGGAATGCCCGTGGGATTGATGTGTCTTTGATTTCCAGAGGCGAACCCGAGCGTAGCGAGGTTTAGCCGCTAGTATATAATAAATATAGCTTTATAATTGGTTAAACCAAGTGAGTTTTAGACTTAAGATAGCTTACAATAGCTAGTTACTGGCTGACATTCTCTATTGATAAACAGAAACTATCGAACTATTCTATAGTATCGTGTCAAAGAGCTTAATCTTGCAATGTACGAGTATCTATAGCAGGTTTACGTGGTAACAATTGCTATTGTAACACTAATAATGAGCCCTACATTCAATGCATTGTTTAATATTCATTCATGTTCAGTCTTCATCAGTTAAGTATAGAATTTCACATTAGATTACATAAAGCGCAATAGAGTATTTTTATAATAAAAATGTATACTAATAATTGTAACGAACCATGTTAATAATAACTTTCAACTGAGGTATAAGGTATTTTAAATAAAACTATGTTTTCGAATTTATTGTGATTTTTGGTTCCTGACGTTTCGAATGCTTTACAGTAATCATGGTCTCGAGAAAGACTAAGGTTTTAGACGTCTCTTATATAATTGTTACAGACAGTGCCTACCAGGAAATTGCACAATGATTTGAAAATCACAATATGAAAGATAGTTTTATTTAAAATGTCAGATATTCGTGTAAATCTAGGAAAGTATTAGATATAAGGTCTTACCTAGAAGGGCAACACATAGGAGTTGTCGTGTAAGCATGACGAAACTCTGCTCCAGCACTTCTTATAGTCTTCATAGTTCTGGGCATAAAATTTAAACTGCCAAGTTCAACGTCTTGGTCATCAGTTAAAATCAATATTATATTGGGTTTCTTTTCTCGTGGCTGAGGATACGGAATGAATCCACCGCTCTGCCATTTGTTCGTCAACTTTGATTTGAATCTGGTTGTATTTTCTCTGACTGGCACTGATCTATCGGGTTTACTTTGGTTACTCTGTTTCTTTCTATCAATTAATTTATCGGAATTATTCTTCATCCAGTGTTTTTCCGCTTTACGAGTTTTTTCATCTCTTTTGCCATAGGGATCGGTACGATTGGATACATATTCTTCTGATGAGTAACCATCAGACCCTCTTCTTCTTTCTCGTCTAATTTCATGCTCTCTCTCCCAAAATCTTCGCCTGTCGCTACGAAATTTTGAGCTATTTCTGTGTCTCAAATATCTTCTTTCTGGCAGATCAGTCAAGGTTCCATTAAAAGTAGTTCGATTTCGATTATTTTCTTTATTTCTTAATTCTCTAGCACGAGAGTCATCCTCCTCCAAAGAATCTCTCTTTGCATTTATTAACAAAAAATTCCAGGTTAATAATAATGAAATTATTTTAAAATTCATTTTATTTATATTTATAATATCAATATAACAATCCTTCTACGAAGTTAATGTAAGTTTATTTGTTCATAGTTCTGCATGTTTTTAGTAACTTCACAGCCCACAAAAATCATTTTATGATGCCAAGTGCCATTTTGTGCCACCTGAAACAAGCGAATTTGATTTTAATTTTTAAGTGAGTAAAATGTTTGATAACTATATGTATTTCTATATGAATAATATTACAAAATTTAAAAACAAATAAATTGTAAAGGCTTAATTTCTATACATAAAAATAAAGCAACTTCTTGTAATACTATAAATTTATATTAATAAGAAATAATGTAATTCTAATATACAGAAATTTTAATTCTATCCATACTAATATTATAAATGTGAAAGTGTGTTTGTTTGTTTTTCTTTCACGTCGACACGGCTTGGCGGATTGGCGTGATTTTTTCGCATGGAGATGATTGGAGGGCTGGAGAGTGACATAGGCTACTTTTTACCGCGGGAAATTATCTCTTTCCCACGGGAAAACACGTTATACTACAATCCAAAAAAATATTTATGATCAGAATTACTTGAAACTTGGTATAAATGCTCTTCAGTACAATTAATTAAATACGTGTTTTAGCATTTTCCGAAATTCATCCCATAAGGGGGTAAAATAGCGGGTGAAAGTTTGTATAAAACCTACCATTTTAGAGTTTTTTTTGCAGTTTTAGCGCGAGCGAAGCCGCGGGTTCTGCTAGAATAATATAAATTAAACATATGGTAATCTATAATAGAGATCTATCTGCACCTATATAAATTATATTATACGGACGTGATAAAATGTTGGGCATCTCTGCTCTGGCGTAGTGAACGCCATGCAGTATTTTATCGCAATCTATCAGAGAAGTAATCACGAGTTGCTTTTAGTAGAATTGAACTGGCATGGTCTGACCCTTTTCAAAACGAACTGCTCTCTTCCCTTCAATTTCAATTGATACTTTTAAACACTTAACTAAATCAATCGGCTTAAACATGTGGATCCAGTAAGTAATAGGCGGTAGATAGAAAATCCAATTGTAAAGATAAAATATAATAAATTTTACTGCAAGCATATAAATCGAAAACGTGAGATTGAACTGTCTCCTACTTCTTGGTATCAGTAACATTTCCTGTTGTGCTTTATACAGCTTCTTAAACATCTTTACAGAAATATAAAACTTGAATGCTAGAATCTTTACCGACAACCATATAACTTTAATAGTAGGTTTATTCCGCCAATAAATGTATGTTTTTTTTCTTCAAATTTTTATAACAAAGAAAATTACGATATGAAAGTGTTTTAAAAATCCTTCATTCATTGATAACTCAACAAAAAATTCTTAATAATGATAAAAAGATATAGATCAGCATTTAAAACGATGTGGAATACTTTAACAAAGTTTTCTTTTTATATAAGAATAGATCACAAGAAATATTTAAGGTCAGTAACAAGCACCTTATAATGAGCGACAACAAATAAACTAAATGTAAGTATCTGGTATGCACGCCTGATGCCACCCCAGCGCGCGCGCCACTGATCTTGATTTATAACCGCGAGACCATGACGTTATTGATAGGGGCACAGCAATCAATGTGGACAGCCAGACGAGAATATTTTTAGCCATATTCTATCAAAAATGTCTACACAAAAGCTTAATAAACGATTATATGTATGTTTAATTAGCTACAAAAACTAACTAAGCTGCCTAAAAGATATTGACCTAGATATGATATGACCAAAACTACTACAAAATAAATTTGTATTTACGGTATTTTATAAGGTTTGTTGTTGAACTTTATTTTATGAAACAGAACACGGTTGGGAAACTAAGAACAAATATTGCTTATTAAAAATAAAACTTCTCGTGCTTATTTTTTTTCAGTATTTCAATACAATTATAATTATTAATTAAAAACCGAGTCAAAGTTTTACATTGAACGTTTTTGAATTTATATCAGGATAATATCTGATATGTAATAAATAAAAGCTAATTCAATTTTTTGTAATGCTTCTCAATCTGTCCGTCGGTTTAATCTAAAATTATTTTAACGCAGCGGAGATAGGTTAAAATAGGCTAAATTAATATATATAGGAACTTAGCTATAAATATATTAATTAACTATTCAAACCCTTTTTTATAATTATGTATCACAGTTGCATTATAATTTCAAAAGTTTGCAAGAGACTTTGTTACTTCTTCACTCGTAAACGGGTTTAACGAATTTAAGTTCCAAATGAGCTTAATCTCGAACTGACATGTAATTCAGCCCTTTTTTACGTCCCACTGTTGGGCGCGGGCCTCCCTTCAATACGAGAGGGATCAGGCAATAGTCCACCACGCTTTTTTTTATTTTTATTTTTTTTAACGTTGGGAAATGCATTTACGCACGAAGTGTGGGACTCACCGGCGAAGCCAGTACTACCCACTAAAAACCAACAAAACCTTCCCCCGTCTTAATGGGGCGTCACAGGATCGCTTACGCATTCAACTACGACGCCCCGACGGCAGGTCTGCCGAAGCAGACCACAGAAACCACGGGGTTGCACCAAGGTGCACTCTGCTATCAGAGAAGTACCAGGAGCAACCCGCATGGTACACCGCCCTCCGAAGAGGGCCGCCTTCCACCGCCCACCGAAGCGGGCCACCTCCCTGTGCGTTTCATGGCTTAGCGCCCGGCTGTATTCCCGGGCACTACTGAGCCCCGACAAGGTGAACGCACGTTGGGGGGGAATAGTTCACCACGCTGGCCAAGTGCGGGTTGGCGAACTTCACATGTCTTTCGAAAACTTGCTAGGTTCTCTCAGACATGCAGGTTTCCTGACGATGTTTTCCTTCACCGTAAGGCGAGTGGTAATCATGTTAGAAATAATTCGCACATAGAAATATCAGAGGTGCGAGACCCGGGATTTGAACCCGCTTCAGTCGGTTTCCCAAGCGTGTGTGTTACCACTGGGCTACCACTGCCTTACTGCTGCGAACTGACATACATATAGACTACTTTATTGTACTCACCACACGAGCGATGTCGCAGGCAAAAGCTTGTATCATATAATGATTACACAATATATATTAAAAATAATGTAAACTACAAACGTCTACTGGGGCTATTTATGTACATTTTGAGTTCAGCGACTGTTTTGTTTCCTACTCCATACAATAATGTTATTGCGATCATTGCGCTCGTTTGTTTATAAGACGAAAGCACGCTCACTATTTACAGACAGAATAAAACCCGGTTCATAGCAAAGTTTTAAAATATAACATTGCGAATACTAAACACTGTCTAATATAAAAAAAATACCAGACTATTAAATATATTGTGTGGTAACTCTGATTTTTACTGAGCTGTATTTATTATAATGAGTTTTATTTATAATAAGAAAAATAACAAATGAATTAAAATATAACATGTACTTGAAACCACACTACATGTAAATGTTGTTAATTATGTAATAGAATTATCATTTTGTTATTTTTATAGAGCACTTAATATAGAAACATTTAAGATGGATTTTATTATGAACCTTGTTATGTACTTCGTTATGTAAAACAATTATTACAATACGAAAAACGAGTGTAAGAAATTTATAGTGAAATTGATAGATCGTAAAGATGTGTATAAGTAGAGGAAGAGACAGGAAAGTGCCCGAAGATTGTGCACGTAGAATTTGAAGAATGCGGAGGTTGTCCGTCATCGCGCTCGGCACTCAATTCTCCTTCACAACCCATAAGGGTGATTTTATTTATCTATATATGCATGTAATAAAATTCTGAGTCGATTCTCTACATTAAATAGATCAACATATAGGATACTTTTTACTGCGCAAAAATATATCACCTCTGAGAAATTTATTCTAACCCTTAAAACTTAACTTATGGGATGTAATATATATGTGTAAATGATCCATTTAAGATTACATACATAAAGTAACCCTATTACTCAAAGAAATCCATTTTTTTAAAGACACAATGTTTATTAAATATATCATATTATATACCATCTTTAAGTATATAATAAGCATAAAAAACTTATTTTATCTGAATTAACATAACAGTTTGTTGGTATTAAAATAAATAGCTAATCACTAATTTTGCGAAACTTTAATACAGAATGGAAGCAAAAGTTTTCAATAATTATGTGAAGTTCTGCTTTATATAAATGAAGAATTAACGAGCTCAGTTTACAATTATTATATAGTACTAATGAGAAAATTAATTCAAAAGCTAAGAAACACTCAGGTAAGGGAATTGCCCATAAATACTTTTGTAATAATTACAAAAGTATTTTTGTAAAACATAATATTAAAAAAATTATGAATGGACATGAGAAACACTCTTACACTATCTACACTAACATAATACAAAACTTATATACGAGTACATACTACATATGTACATACATATATGAGAATGACATATGTCATTTTATTTGTTATTAGCGCCCCTTCTATCTTAGTACTATTTCCTACACCTAAAGATCGCCTGGAAGAAATCGCTCTTTTAGCGATAAGGCCGACTCTTGCACCTTCTTCTATATTTTGTATATTTTATTTTCTCTTTTTCGGTGTACAATAAAGAGTAATTCATTCATTCATTCATTACTCATTTATAAATAATGAATTATAATTACATAGAAATTAATGGTCTCGGCCTGACACTTTTACAATACAGAAAAAGATCTAAAATACGAGTAAATAAAAGTATAAGTACTTTCAAAAGTTGTTATAACGGTCTTGTTTTAATCATTATTCACCACAAATATTATTATCTTTCTTTTTCGTCACCTTTATTATTCTGCACAAAACCGCTCTTTAATTAATGTTTGCGAAATTACAAAGGATTTCGTTTTATTCGTCATCTTGTTAATTCAGAACTGTCTCTTTCTTATTTAGGTATGCGTCCCCACGATTCACCTCTTACCGAAAAACTCATTACACTCTAAGTGAATCGCATCTTTAATTTGAGCCTCATTACGTTTTAAGTGCACTTGTTTTACTGCGTTCGTTAACAGCTGGACGACAATCACAATTTGGAGAACGATTACTACCGTAAAACGGGGTGTATAGAAATTGCGGGGTGAATAGAAAAAATACCAGGAAAGTTTTCAAGGCTAATATTTAATTACTTTTCGTTGAAGAATTTTGGTAGAATTTTATATTTTAACATATCAACATTTTTTCTTTGCGTTGGCAACAATTTTTAAATGTCAAAATTGACATTTATCCTTCAAAATATATTCAAAGTGTACCGTCTGTGAACGTGGTATAATCAAGTGCCGAAACTCTTGGTTTTATGTAAGAAAAACTTGTGACTTGTACTAATTAACGTGTTTATCTCATTAGGTGTGCGATACATTATAAAAATACAGTAAAGGTAAGTGAGAATACGTTATTAAACTTAAAAAAAATATTAAAATCACAGTTAGTGTACATTTATTGTCTAAAAGGGGTTAATAGAATCCATTGAAGGGTGAATAGAACTTTAGTATGGGTTTAATGGAAGTCTAGTATGGAAAAATAGAAACGATTAATGTGTGAATAGCAATTAATGAGGGGTTAATAGAGATAAATAAATAGGGTTGTCAAAAACTGTTAACAGAACTAAATTTAACTACCTACTTTCATACTTTCTGTATTAATGAATAGTAAGTCCGTATTATTTAGATGAGAGCGGTAGATTTTGTGATTGATAAATAAATAATATTTATGAAGTGATAATTTTCATTTACAGGTACATACCGCCGTAGGTAGATTCAATATGCCGCGTGTATATAAACCCGATCCTACAAGGAAAAGGTATAAAAAATATAGCATAGAAATCATAAAAAAAGCTGTGGAAGAGTATGCATCTTCTCGGAATTTAAAACTAGAAGATGTTGCAAAAAAATATGGCATTCACAAATCGGTGTTGTATCGCCACAGTACCCGGGATATGAAGCAACATGGAGGCCAAAGAGCTTTATCCGACGAAACAGAAATGTTGTTAATAGAGAACATCAATAAATGCGCAGAATGGGGTTATCCCTTAGATACATTGGATCTTAGGTACATAGTCAAGATGTATCTTGATAAGATAGGCATAATCCATAAGAGATTCAAGGACAATTTTCCAGGACCTGATTTTGTGCAGAGCTTTTTATTAAGACACAAAAATGAGATTTCGCAAAGAGTTTGTGAAAATATCAAGCGTGTGAGAGCTAAGGTGTCTCCAGATACGATTAAAGAATATTTTATCGAACTTGCGAAGTCTTTAAATGGAGTACCTGCTTCTAACATATTAAACTACGATGAAACGAATTTAACGGACGACCCCGGGCGGAAGAAAATATTAATCAAGCGGGGATGCAAGTACCCTGAAAGGGTTCTGAACCATACCAAGGCTTCCGTGTCTATTATGATGGCTGGTACCGCAGATGGCAAAATGTTACCACCATATGTGGTATATAAAGCAACTCATTTATATGATTCTTGGATACAACATGGCCCAGAAGGTACTCGATATAACAGGTCGACATCTGGATGGTTTGATGGAACCACTTTTGAGGATTGGGTGCAAAATATGGTCGTTCCATATTTTAAGGATTTACCAGACAGAAAGTGCTTAATTGGAGACAATTTGTCTTCACATTTATCAGCAGACTTGATCCAAATATGTAAAACGCATAACATCGATTTTGTGTTTTTACCAGCCAACTCAACTCACCTGACGCAACCGCTGGACGTAGCATTTTTTCGTCCCATGAAGCGTGCCTGGAGGCAATTAATATTAAAATGGAAAAAGACAGATGGTCGACAATCACCCACAATTCCAAAAGGTTGTTTTCCAAAACTATTAAAATTGTTAATTGATGAACTTCAAATCAATGCTTCAAAGAATATCATTGCTGGATTTAAGAAAACAGGAATTAGCCCTTTAAATGAACATGAAATATTAGCCAGACTTCCCGGTGAAGACTTAGATGAAAACCATGAAAGTGCTGTAGAAGATTCTGTTGTGACACTCCTCAAAGAAATGAGATATGGTTCTATGAATATTGTAGAGCCAAGAAGAAAGAGAAAACTCAATGTACTCCCAGGTAAAAGTGTCGCTCCAGAGGAAATCGAAGATTATGCAGAAGCCGATTACTAGTATGGCAAATTTAAAAAAAACAAAATACGATACAAGCTATCCATCAGGTTTAAACAACGTTGAAACTAAACGTACAAAGTTGAAACTAAAACCAATGAAAGAAGAAGAAAATTGCCCTAATAAAATAGAACCTTACAAAGGAAAAGGCAAAGGGAATGGAAAAAAAACTAAAACATCCTATTTGGAAGCAAAAGAAATACAAGAAAAAGAAAATCTCGAGAATAATATAGAAAACAATGAGATTAAAGGAAAAGATATGGAGGGAATAACAAAAAAATCAAGTTTGAAAAGAATAGAAACAGAAGACAAGGACAATAATGATAACAACAAAGAATGGAAAGAAGAGTTTCACATAAACGAAGAACAAGAAAAATACCGATTAACAAGGCAGGAAAATTACGATTACAACACGAATTACGACAATTATGATAATAATATTGGTCAGGTAAATTACGATAACGTCACGGTTTACGAAAATTATCATAATAATATGGAACAACAAAATTATAACAGTATTACGGAAACGGAAAACTACAATAATATCTTACAAGAATTAAAATGCGGAATACCTAATGATAACATAAACAGTCTGCCCATTCTCTTTTTTGACAGCATATGTGAAGAGCTCACGATCAATACTGAAAAACCTGCTGATGATAATACTATTATGGAGAATAAAGTAAAAATAATATCGAATGAGCTAGTGAATGACGATCAGTATAACAAAAAATACAGATCACCTATTATAAAAAAGTACAAGACTGTAGCGGTAAAAGATCTCATTAAATTGCCAAAGAAAAACCATACAAATAATTACTACAATAATAGTGACAAAATATTAAAAGTTTTAGAAGAGGATGATGACATGTGAAAACTTTGTTATAATAATTGTTAAGTTAAGAATTTTGATTACTTGTACATAGTAAGTAGTTTAGTGTACTTAGTGCGAGTTTTTTTTTTCTTTGACGCGATAGTAACTTTCAACCGTGTTTGGCGCTCTTATTGGTTGAGAAAACTCACGCTGAGCACACTGGTTCTACAAAGCTATAGCGTAGGCTGAAGTTACCTACCTTGTTACAACTTTGTTATTATAATATCGATAAGTTCAAAAGATTTAGAATTTGGGTTTTTTTTAAAGAATATTGATTATTTTTACGCCAGTAGTACTGATTCTACAAAGCCATAACGTAGGCTGAAGTTGATTACCTGTGATATTTGTTATGATGATTAAGTTAAGTTCAAAAGATTTATAGTTGTTTATTTTTCGTCATATATGTATAAACTTAAAATTCAGAAAAACTAAACTTTTAATTCAGAAGGTTGTTTTTTATTTTGTTATTTTATTTAATTTAAATAAAAATACGAATAAGTAGTATCTTGTTTGATTTATCGAAAAGAGAACATTCCATAAAAATTAAATCGGTTAAAATACAAACATACTTTATTATTTATGTTCATACGCATAAATAGCTTAAATTACAAATTTTGATTTTCAATTAACATTTACAAACCAAAACAATTTTTAAATATACAACCTTATATTTTTGCAATGTTGGATAAGTCATTTTTGGTAGCCCTACCAGTTTTTCCATTCACCCCTTTACGCATTTCTATTGACCCCAATCGTCGGGTGAATAGAAACGGTACATATTTTATTAAAAATCTGGAAAACCTTTGCTTATAGTTAAAAAAATATTGTTTCAGCACTTTCTTGATGGAACCGGGCATGATATAAAATAACCTGAGATTAAAAAAAAAAGTAACAGACAACAAATTCTTAAGACGAAGTTGAAAATCATTGCTATTCACCCCGTTTTACGGTATCGTCTCCTTAAATTTCACTTGCTAATACTAACTAAAGCTAAGTTTGGTGTTAGGTAAACTATATATAAAATTTATGTTAGTCATATGGTTGTGTATTCATTTAAAATGATGTATTTAAAGAGCTACGCTGAAGAAACTAATAGTTTTCCTTAAGTCAATAATTAAAATAATGTAATTAACCTTTAGCTACAATAGAAAAAATATATTTTATGCGCATGAAACCGACGTAAATAATAAAAACTTACATTTCTGCTGTTTCTCCATTCTTTTATAACATTTTTTCAAATAAACATTCAAAGTTTAAACTAACCCTAAGCTCTTGCAACTTATTATTTATTTAGTTTTATTGTGCTATTGCATAATTGCATAATATTAATAATGTCGCTTATAATACTTACACACATTCTGTACTTGGCTTCCTGTAATAGTTACATATGTAAGAGCAAACACTGAAAACATAATATACTCTGACCCAATGACAAATTTTTACTAGAAAGGTACCTTCATGTTTTCTTGCTAAATTTAAGTATAATTTAGATATATTTTGATACCATTTAATGACTTGTATTTTTCGAATATTTTTGCATTTACATTTTCATGCATTCATTAATACACATATGTACCTAATATTATTTATTAAACTGTTAATTATTGTGCTTATATTCGAGTTTGCGTTCGTGGTATGGGACTCTATTGGCTTCATAGGCAGTAGATCACGATCAGCAAGTCTCTGTTAACAATATACCGAGTGTTTTGTGCCTGCAGCTGTACCTACAAGGGATTTGAAGATATTTAAATGAAGAAAGAGACGGGGTAGAAATAATGATGCTATCGTACATAATATTCGCCCTCGGCTATTGTTCCTCTTTTCCAAAAAGAACAAAACTTTTAAAATTCAAGCCATTCTTGAAATTGTAAGAGCTTTAAAGTTTTCAATAGAAATCTATTTGAAATCGTTTTATTTTGTAGATTCTTATGCTTTTTGTTTAATTTAGTTTTATCAAAATTTTATAATTACGACTGAATTTACTTCATCAAAAGAGCTATTTGGTTGAAGGTAATGTAAACTTTTCGAATATATTTTCAAATTTTAATGGCTGGTCAAGCTGTTACCGCCTTGAATTCTTTTTATAAGTATTATGAAGTAAAATATAATAACATAGGTAAGTACTTGTTAAAATATCTGGCATCTTAAATAGATAACAGGAAGCTGTTAAAGTAATTTCATTCAAACACCTATATGTGGTTCCTATTATTAACAATGATATACTTAATACTATGGTGGTACGTCAGAGTATAATTGTGTAAGATCGAAAGACCAGACTTCTAAACAAGATCAATCGGTTCAAATATATATTATATACTTAGTATGAAATGATGTGTGGTCGGTAGATAAATTAAATTGCTCCTTTGATTGGATACATCACTGTTACTTGATATTCATGCCATTTAACAAAGAATTGAATTGAATTCATGTCATTTAAAGTTTCTCGTATAAGATCGCTTTTGATTAGTAGTGATGTCCTTTTGCATGCAGTAAAATCTTTTCAATTGCAAGTAGAGGATATTAAACCCAATGCTAATAGATGATTTATTTTTGCTTACGACCTCCCATCTTGAGAGCATAAAATGATAGTCGAGTCAAGGTTCAAACCTTGCACAGGTCAATGTCAAACCTTGCACAGGTTTGAACCTTGTTCTTGTAGTGGTGTGTGTGGTTCACCTTGTCGTGGTGGGGGCAGGGGGCAAAAAACGGCATACGAAACCACATACAAAGGAAAGGAAGAGTTTATGTCAGAGTGGATAAGGGCGAGACTAATAAAAATTGTTAAAATATGTCAACCTGTGCAATACGCATGTATAATATTTACGTTTATATAGTATTTTGAATTTAAAATAAAACATGATTTAGTTAGCGCGTTAAAGTAAATATAACAACCCATAAAGAAAATGACAATATACTATTGTGAAGAACCTTTTGCAAACGCACCTTAAAAGGCAAACTTTACGGTTACAAAATGCTGTTAAAGTATATTGCCATATTTACTGTTTATTACATTACTTCGTCTATTATGTGTAACTTAAATGTCACAATATTTATATTTAAAACTAGCAACTCACCCTCACTTCGCAGTAGTTCATCCCTAGGTACGTACGTAGACTATATCCATACTATTATTATAACTGTGAACGTGTGTTTGTTTGTTGTTTGGTTGTCCTTCTTTCACGTCGAAAGAGAGTGACAGTTTAGCGTGATTTATTGTGTGGAGATAGTTGGAGGGCTGCAGAATAACATTTTTACCACGGGAGATTATCCCATTTCCACGGAAAAACACATTATGATACAACCCACAACAACTCATCATATTAATTTTAAGGTTGCGTTCATAATTATAAAGTAGGGGAAAGGGGGGTACACTGGATCACTTTTTTTCAAATGTAGTTTACCTATATAAATAAAGTATAAATTACCAATATTTATATATAGAGCAATGAGATGTGAAGTTGGCTATAGAAATCTAGTTCAACTTTAGCAATAATATTAATAGTTTTCTGAAAGCAAAGGTTTTTTTAAAAAGTGGGAAATTATTCATTGTACCCCATATATGGGGTACATTGGATCTCCGCATGGGGTACAGTGGATCTTATTGGGGCACAGTGAATCAACACATGAAATCATCATACATTTTACTTTTGGGTTACAGCGAATCAATCAATATTGTAAAAAAATTATATAAATAAAAATATTTATGAATTATGTGAACACTTTTAATCAACAATATTACAAAATTATCAATCACTATTTATTTTCTATCAGTCTTAAGTAACACATTACTTGTAGTGATATCTTATAAAACATGTACTTAGTATTTATATTAAGAAGTTTAAGGTTTAGAATTATTTAAGGTTTAAAAATTATTAACTGGATAACATAAATCTTGAACGAAACAAAATAAAACATATACACAATAAAACTAATTTCAAAAGTAAAAACATATCACGTTAATACGAAAAGAAATTGAAAAAAAAAATTAACGCAAACTTAAGCGAGAAAAATTGAGATTGATCTCATTTATAGACTTGCTGTTGTCGTTTAGTGCCACAAAATGTAGGCAGAGGTAATTTCATTATTATATATTCTAGGGGTACTGAAGCTATATTTGGAACATCAGGTAATCTGTACCCTTTCTTTACTTTTGTTCTCCTTCCCTTTCCTGTGTAAAATACTTTCTTTTTATGTGTATCTAACCATACTAGACGCAGAATTTTTTCTTTTCATTCTCTTTGTACTTATTAGTCGTTTCTCTCTCTTAATTTGTACTACTCCTTTGTTTTTTTCTATCTTCGTCACTAGAATCGGACTGCATAACTTTTTTACTAATATGTTTTGCTACTTTCACAAGCTTATTAATTTTATCTTGTTGACGTTGTTCGATATATTCTTTATTTTTAATTCTTTTTCCAGTGAAAATCTTATTTACCCCATAATTGGGAGTTAAACGTAGCTTGCCAATGTGTTATATCTTTTCGCATAATATCTATGTAAGATTGCATATGGATTATTTTTCTAGTTTTACAACTTTTCTAATTTTGTTGCCCGTAAAACAAAGACAATGGCATTTTGTCTATTCAGTTATTCAGTAGTAAGACCAATTTGAGTCTTTCTCTTTCGGTGCCGTGCTATGTTGTTAATCTAAAACAAAAATTATTATTACATACTATAAATAAAATAGTCTAATCAACTCGAAATTTAGTGTGGAGTACAGTGGATCGCCAATCCACTGTACCCCACATGGAAATGGCCCACTGTTCCCCAAAGCACCACTGACAACTGAACAACAAATTCCTATAACTTACATAATCTATACGAATCAAACAGCTATTTATTTCTGAAGCTTATTAGATTATTGTTGAGGTAATTTAAAGTAAGTCATTCAATATTAAATATTTTCGTGAATAAAACACTCGAGTAATAGTAGTAAAAAAATAGATTTGATACTCACGGATAGCCAAATGGCGGTAACACATTCTTCAACAGCGAGA